ATCAGAAACAGCACCTGGATTGAATCCAGCTTAGGTGGGTTGAAATTTATTTTGTGGTTGACCCATGGAATGAATCTTGATCTCATTTTGGCTAGAATAGGTTGGTTACCTGCGTGATAGGCTGGCCTTGCCCTGGGCGGAGTGTGTAAGGATGTTAAATCCAAAAAAGTAACAAACAACAAAAATACTGCTTCCAGTAAAAAAATATTATTGGAAGCTTCTTTAATAGGAAAAATTTAATAAACATTATATAAGTAGTAATTTCAGCTAAATTTCACACAATTTGTAATTTAAAACTCCGTAAGAATTTTAAAAATATTTCAAATGAAATTAAAGGATTAGGTAATCCAGATATTACTTTCAGGTCTCTTTCATTTACAATGCTTTCTCTTTCTGACTCCCCATCCTATACAAAGATTTGATTCTAAATGCGTTTGTAAGTTTTTAAAAAATGTATCCTTTCCCTTTGATATATTTTTAGCTCCCCTCCTCTTCTAACAAGATAATATTATTGTCTTGTAATATATTTGTAAATATTTTGTTAGTGCTCCAAGGGTAGAAAAAAAAAAATTAGAATTAACTTAGTGCTTCATAAGCTTTCAGGTTGAGGTTGAGCTATACTTTTTAAATTTTGTTTCTCATCATTATTCTTAGGAGGCAAGACCCAAAGAATAAAAATTATTAACTGAGCATGATATAATCAATCATCTGTCTCTCTGATTATTTTAAAGAATTTATAGCTCATTGCATCAACCTTAATCTTTTGTGTGGTAAGGAGGAAATTTAGTTCAGGACCAGTTCACGAAATTACTTTGTGTGTGATCACTAATGAATAACTGTTGACAAAAATAAATTAAATGTGAAATCATATCCTATTATTCTCATTACAAACAAGATATTAGGAAAGTAAGTAAAGATAGTTAAATCACTTCTTGCTCAGTTAAGATGAGTTAATGTTTCTCAACGAAGAATCAAATTAATTTTGTATTTATTATATCAACAATTAACTAATTAAAACGGTCATTATACAGCTACATTATGATTTGCATCAACCAAGAATGAGGAATTAATACAAAATAATTTATAATAATTTTCAATAATACATATATAGGCATTATGAATGCCAACCAATATGTCGATATTTTGTGACATAATTTAACAAGTAGAGTCGAAAACATGAGGATCAAAGATACATTTATCTTCCAACAGGACAATGACACCAGGCACACAGCAAATAAATCAAAAGAGATGGAACGTAAAAAGGATGGTGTACATTGGTTCCAGCCCATGGAAAATGCCATCGCAGTCTCCGGACATAAATGCTATAGAACATCTATGTATATGTTGGATTTCAAAGTAGGAAAAAATAATATTAAATTAAAAAAAAAAATTTAAAATAATCTTTGTCAGAGAAATAGCATAAAATTGGACTAGACCTAACTCAAAATCTTATTTTGACGATGCCAAGAAGATTCCACGATGTCATAGATGCCAATGGTAGTTTGTGAAATAACCCATAAATTAAAGTGTGCCAATACTTTTTTGAACATATTTTTTTAATCTTATTTATTGAAAAATATTACAATCTGTCTCAAGGACATTTATAATAGTGTTCACAGATCACATTCACACCCTATGTAGATAGAAAGTAAGCTTTATTCTGGGACAAAGTCCCTTATGAATAACAGATATGAACAAAAAAATAAAAACTACATCTGGCCAAAAATTACATTAATCAATATTAATTATGTACAGTAAATAAAATAAAATAAAGAACATACTAAAGTGATATTTTGTTATTGTTTTTTTTAATGAAGTAAATTTAAATCTTTTTTTCCCCAATATGTATTTTTTTTTAAATAAAAATGTTTAATTAATCAATTTTAGATTTTTTCACAATAGAACATAAAAAAAGTTGGATGTGCCAATATTTTTTTGATCAACTGTATATTATATGTAATATATTTATGTTATTATATATGTAATATATTTATGTTATTATATATATAATATATTTATGATATACAATTAACATATGATCAATGTTTTTGCAAAAAGAATTAATTAATCCCATAGATTTTATTTCATTAATAAAAATATTTTTAACATGAAACTTTATTTTCTCCATATTAAAACGTTTCAGCATTTATTGTCATTTTCAAATATTCTAGTAAAACATCAGTCACAACAATCAAATAAATGACTTTTGTTGTATACTACTCTATAGCAGTAATTTTTTAGTGTATTGCTCTTTGGTAGTAATTGTTAATTTCATATTATAAAAATAGCTGTTTTCTTATTTCTCTTTATTACAATTACTTTTGTTTTATTTTCTCCTATTTTATTAAAAACAGTATCCCTTATCAACACTTTCAATCCTTAATAAAAATAGACACCTTATCCCACTACAGGTGTCTATTTTACTAGTACAGACTAATACCATGGGATATGACGTCTGTTACGGATTTTGCAATAAATATTGAAACGTTAAACTGGTACTCGTACTTAACAGGTAAACAGTCTAAGGAAGACTGTTTTCAACAAAATAGGAGAAAATAAAACAAAAGTCATTGTAAAAAAGAGAAATAAGAAAACATCGCATTTATAATATGAAGTTACTGACTATAACTATAACAATTACCGACTATGATGCAGTAATGTACAAAACAGTTTTTTCATTAATTGTTGCGACTGATGTTTTTCTAGAATATTTGATAATGGCAATAAATGCTGAAACGTTATAATATGGAGAAAATAAAATTTCTTGTTAAATATATGTTTTAATAATGAAATTAAATCTGTGGGCTTAATGAGGTATTTTTGTAAAAATGTTATTTGTACATTGAATAAAAATAATAATTAAATATGTATTTACAGTATCATACATCATTTTAGAGCTATTCTTTTCATATACAAATTCATATGCAGATCTTTTTGTGAGACTCGGCTATTTGGACTCAGGGGACCTTAAAACATATGTTTCCACTGCAATTTTTCAAAATTGCGATACTTTTCTTGATTGTATGTTTCATATTTTAAATTATTTTCATTTAACTACATAAAATTTAAAAGTCATTTAAAATTTAGTTTAAAATATTCTTGCATTTTATGTTTATTGTTTTAAGTCATGGGTCTCCAACGTATATCCTGTGGACCTGACCAGGCAAACACCTCCAATTCAGCCAGTGAAAGTTCTTTGATTAAATGGTAAAATATAAAAAAAAAAATAAATTTAATAAATCATTCAAAGAGGAGGTTACTACAACATTTATTACACGAGTTGATTCTTTCAGAACACTGATTTATCCACAAAAGTGTTATCAATAGAACAAGATTTATTTTTCATCAAAGGCCCACGGAACTTGGTGGAGGTCTCAATGTAGCCCACAGACCAAACATTTTGGAGATCCTTGTTTTAAGCTAATAGAATAGACTCAGATAGGTTAATTTTAAAAGTAAACATGAGAATATTAAAATGAATAAAATATAAAGTCAAATGTGTAGTGAAACGAGTGCTGTGAAAATGTATAGAATTAAAAATTTTTAAGCATATTTAAAATGAAACTAAATCTATTTTCTATTTGAAAATAAATATAATTTAAACTGAAAAATACTATTTGAAGTAAGAAAACGCCCTTCTTTTTAAAGTCTCATTTAATTATGTTTTTGAGCTTTCGGTGCTCTTTACCATATTCATCTAAAAAATTGTTGTAAATACGCATTAAATTAGAATATATATATATACAATATACTTATGTAAATTCACAATAAATATACAATATACATATACATGCATTTTGTGAATTTCAAACGTATTTTTTACTCTTTCTTTGTACCTAATTGACCACATTATCTAGTTACTATAAAGGGAGTTTTAGTTACCACATTAATTGGTACTGACGAAGAAAAAAAACAAAACATTGAAGCATTATAGTAGATATTAGTAAAGTAAAATTTGTTTGATTTTCTATTGAAATGAAAATTTCCTCAATATATTAATATATTTAGCAGTTGTAATATCTACTATAATGCTACAAACATAGATGGACCTCATAAGAGCTATTAATAGAAGGCAGAGTATTGAGCAAAATATTTATATTTTTTCGATTGCCACGAAAAATCTTATTTAACGGTTATTAGAGGTGCGAAAAACTAATATCAGCTTTATCCATGCCAAAAAAATACATGTCATGGTAAAATATATTTATAATATGCACAACACACGCTTTATTCTTATTTTCAGATCTATTCTCGATTAAAAAAAAACAGATTTTGTAAACACAATCTCACTTTCGATACCTGTCCGATTAAAAAAAAATACATATATTTGGCATAAAGTTATAGAATGAGTACAATATTGAAACAATTAGCACTCAGGGGTGCCCATTCCCCCCCCCCCCATGGTCAATGGCACATGAATCTATCTCCCACCCTCCTCCCAAGATATTTTATTAGTCACCTTTTTTTTTTAAACAAAGCAAGCTAAGATAGAATTAGAAAAATCGTAGATCGTATACAATTACACTTGCTGCAGTCTGTTCCATGTTTTCCATTTGTTCTTTGGTCCGAAAATTCATAACCCCGTCGTAATTTGTCCCCCACAAAAATCCAAAAACCTGTCAAAATACGCCCCCTCAAAGATTTTGATGACGCAACTTGCGCCATGAAATCTCCTTCCGGGCACTCCTATTAATATTGACCTAATGAGTAAAGTAGATTGAAATATTTTTTTTTAAGAAGAAACAATGTACTTATATGTTTTTTCTAAGTTAATTTTTTTAACATGTGTACTGAATGAAAATTAGAACATTTGGGATCATGAAACATCCCCTGTTAACAATTTCCTCAATATCTCTTAATTAATTTATTTAATTTCATGAGAAGCGAGAATTATAATATTACACCACATGTTGCAAAGAAATAATATATGACGAAAGCCCAAAGCATTACGAAACTGGAAGGTCAACGTATTGCGTTGCGGCCAATCGTGCGGTGGGCAACCGAGCCGCGCCGGCGCGGTAGGCAACGACCGCACCCTCCGTCCGCTGCGGTTGGTAGTACTGGCAGCAGCACATTTGAGGAAGGTCGATCTACTCTCTAAAGAACTTTCTACACAGTACCATGCACATGCACAAGATGTCCAATCATATGGTTCATCCTCAGATGTCTTTCCCTATGATGTTTGGGAGGATGCCTGGTATGAAGCACCGAATGATGCACAGACCACCTGGAAGGAAGCATCATCACATGATGCAGTTACTACATAAAATGGGCCCTTTTATGATGAATAAAATGCGGTCTCATATCCACAGGCCTCATGGGCATCACCATCGTATTATGAAACATAAATTTGGTCACCACGGAATGAACCCTGGAATGAGGTATCGTAAGATGCATAAGGCTCATGGAACTAGACATGGTTTTGAAATGGGCCACCACAAAATGGGCTCTCATAAGATGCTCCACCACATGAAACGTAGAGACTTATCCCCGTTCATGGAATGTAAGTATAAAAAGCTGCAGATGCACCATTAAAAATTATTTTTTTAAATTATAAAAAAAAAATCAAATGTATTATGAATTAATTTAAAAATTATTCATTCAAGACAATTCGAAATTTTATATTCTCAAAATTTGTATACTTTTTTATTTTATAGAATATAACTCCGATTAGGACCGTTACTAACATTCCTTTATTGATTTCTCTCGGTTTTAATATCAATGTGAAAGACCACTAAATACTTTAGTGATTTAGTAAATATTTTTTTTAAAAGCAATATATATAGCAACTAAATAATTCCAAATGAATAATAACAATTTCAAGACTGTTTATAATTAATTCCCAAACGTTTTTATAACACTGTGAAAGTATTTAGAAATGTAATTTACTTAAAATACAAACGTGAAAACGATTTTCAAAAACGTTTATTATAATTGATAGTTAGGGATCCTAAATGCTAAATATTTCCTTAACACTTATCCCTCCCACAACTGCGAACTAATTACATCCCACACTCCCTGTGGTTCAAACCTCTCTACTCCGGCTTGTGTATCTTTCATTCATTTTATCTTACAATGATTTCGAAAAATGAAAACGTACTATAGTCATTAGAGAAATTAGATATTCGTTTACCTAAAAATTTCATTTCCAAATAGCGTTTTTACCAGTAACACTTATTGAAAAAGTATGTTTGTAAAATGTATTTAATAACACTTTTTTTTAATCTCAAATTATTTTACAGGCAAAGGCTGCATGAAGAACTATTGACGAAGCGAAACACTAGCTGAAGGCAAGCAGCTTCAATACAACAAGGGATCTAATATCAAACGCAGCGTCATTACACTCCGTCGCTGAAATATTCCGAAATGAATTATTTAAAAACATTTATATTTTACCCAAACTTAAATATGTGTTACTGAACTTATAAATGTATTAATTTTTTATCGTTTAAAATATATTATAGTAAATTTTATAATGTTTTAAGAGGAAATAAATATGATTTTTTTAAATGTTAGATGTTTTTATTATAACCAGCAACAAAATGTTCTCCGATTTTTTTTTTTACTTTTTCAATTGTAACACCTGTTACAAATGCTCACAGCAACTAAGTACACTGTTGCGAAGTCTAATAGAGTGGTAAGAAATTAATGGGGGTGAGGGAGAAAAGTGTCCAGCGACATCTCTTCCTTTCTAGATTTTAATATTTATATTTAAGTGCGAAGATCCATCATCTAGCTTAATTTGAACTTTCGAAGTATAAATGGGTGTATATGTCTATATTTATTGTTGGCATGTGAAAGTCTTTATGTAAAGTAATGTTAGACTACCTACCATTGAGCTTTGATTGTATTCGTATTGATTGTATTGAGCTTTGATAAATTTTTAGTATAAGTATATCAGTCTCTTTGGCTGTCACGTTTGTCTGTGAAACGCAGGTCCAAATGAGTGTAAGTAGATAAATGTAAGAGTTCAGAACGTCTTGAAATAATTGATTATTAAAGAAGTATTCTGGAGTTTAGCATTTTTCTTTTGCTATATCGATCCCATGTTATTGCTTTATCAAATGTCAATCCAAGAAATTGTACTTTGTCTGTTTGAAGAATTTGAGAATTGTAGACTTAAATAGAAGGAAACGTTTAAAAAACGTTTAATGTCAAAGAGTTAAAGTAATGTATTGGGAATTATCTTGGTTGAGTAGAATTTTCCAAATTTTGTATTCCAGGACCATTAAGTTGTGTTGGATGATATCAGGGTGGTGAGACGCGAGACATATGTCTTGTCGAGGTTTCGTTCCAAGTCATTGTTATAGTTCCATAACTACTTGAAACCCCCGAGGTACTGTTGTCAAAGCTGTTCTAATGGTAGAAAGTTCTTAGTCTCGGCAGACAGATGAAAATCCGTCAAAAAGTGATTATTGAAGAATTAGATAATAAGTATAGGAGAGAGAGAGTCTGGTCTTAAGTTTAAAGCGAAGTCTCTGATGCCAGATTCCACCAAAAGCTTAAGCGACATCTATCATAATTTCTAATCTAATACCCTCGCTAAGTACATTACTTAATAAGTAAAACAAATTCGTCTGTCTGCAAATCCCTTCCAACATAAACTTCTTTTTTTTCTCAAATGTGTCTTTTTTTTTTATACATTGAAAGTATTCTTATGAAAATATTAATCAAACCAAATACCAACACTATAAGCCACAAATGAAATTTAACGGAATACAAAAAAATGGATGTAGAATTTTGGAATTATAGTGTTAAACATATCTTAAATTGGTATTTTATATCGCATTAGTTACTGGTTATGAGATATTTTAACTTCAAAGCAACTAAAGATTCAAAATAATGTTTCTAAGAATTAACGACTTATAAATTAGTCGTTATCTTTATTTTCTGATGTTAGTTTCATTACAATAACATGTTTTGCTTTGATAAGAGTGCGTGGGAATCTACTAAAAAACTACATACATTTATTTGAGCGTTATAATCAAGAAGAAATTTCGATTCAGTTTCATTTTTCTTCTTTCTTTCATTTAATTTGTTTTTTTTTAATCTTTCTAGTTTTAATAATCCAGATTCTCTAAATGCAGTTTTGTTGAGGTGAATATGAAACTGAGATTTAATCTGTCTAATCTCGGGAAAAATTTCCAATTATAGCCCAGTCAAATTAGCATTAAAAAAAGGGTCTAGCTTGCAAAAGGTCGAATAATTCGAATTTCTTTTTAAATATTGTTAGGTATGCAGAGACTATAAAAAATATAAGTTTCCGCCCTTGAAAATCTTTTGGGTTCGCTGCAATGCCAACCATTGAAATTTTAAACTTTTTTTTTTGTTGATGCTAAATATCACCTTTTTAAAGCGACATAGATAAAAAATGGTAATATTCAATCTTGAACTGCTTGAAATTATCTAAAATTTTTGTACATAACATTTTTTTCTAAACTGAATATAAAGCGAACTACCGATCTTTCAAAATGGGTAAAGTTCGGAGAAAAAAACAATACAAACATTGAAAATTAAATTGTTGTAATAATATTTATTCGTTAATAGAATCAAATACTAATACAATAATTATAGCACTATAACTATGCCATTTATGAGTACTGAATGATGTGGCTGAGGACTCCAGGCGCCTTTAGCAGAGCCGCTTTTCTGCTGATTAAGTGTACTGTGTACATAACCTCTTCAAATAAATTTAAAAGTAATCAGTGTTTTTGAAAGAGAAATGTATTCTCCGAATATTTTATTTCAGGGCGTTTTTCGATATTGTTCGCCATTTAATTACAAAACACGCTTGATTTTAAACTTTAGTTTGAACTACTGGAAAAAATTGACTTTACTGGTTGTTTTTTTTTTTTTATTGCTAAGGCCAATTATTTGTTAATATTTTTTCATGTTTTATTATTCTGTATCTATTTAGCTTCAATAAAAGGCCAATTAAGGGCGAAATTAAGCCAAATGCCGAATCTCAGTGACCGAAAAACCAATTCAAGTCAAAGACGTCAATCTGCTAGGTTTGAACGCCATTTTGGGACAGTGCGGTAGTTTTTTTCATTAAAAAATCGAAGTTTTTTTAATAAATAGTTACAACAAACACAGCTATATGTGATTTATTGGAATATGGGGGGAGAGGGTGCAGGGTAAGGGGGTTCGGTCCACGTGTAACATACTTTTCAAAACACCTCCCGACTACCGCCTACCGTTCCAGTAGATGACTCATTATCTTCAAGGAAAACCTCCGAATTCTCTGAACGAGGTTCAAAATGGAGTAACAGAATTCTTCCGTTCAAAACTCAAAGTGCACTATTGTGATGAAGTCGAAACAGGTAAATTTTGAAAGCTCGATAGTTCGCTCCTTGTTGGGTTTAGAAAAAAAAAATGTTACGTATAAAAATGTTAGATAATTTTAAGCTGTTTAAGATAAAATATGACCATTTTTCATATATGCTACTCTAAAAAGGATATATTTAGTGTAAATCAAAAATAGTTCGAAATTTCAATGGTTTTTGGAGCACTGCAGCGAACACACAAGGCTTCAAGGGCGGAAACTTGGATTTTTTATATTCACTACATGCCTAACAATACAAAAAAGAAATTTGAATTACACGATCTTTTGAAAGGTAACTTGTGTAATTTGACTGGGCTATTAGGCAGATTCTGTTTGTTTTTTTTCGGCTTACTGTATATATTTATATATACTGAATAGATATTAAATATGTATTGCTTTATCTTTATTTTTACTTGTCAGCCGATTTCCTCTACTCCTATTATTAGAGTCTTAGTGACTCTTATCAACAGTCCCCTTGATTGTTTCCAAGGAAAGCTATATTTTTTAAAATCCTAAGATTTTATTTTCAATGCGACGCTCACATATTCATTTTCACGAGTTGCTTCGAATCACTTACAAATAGTAAAGAAAATTATTATTTATCAATCATAATAGAAAAGTGATTAATATCAACAATTAGCAATGATAGACCATGAAAATATTCTTCAATTTCAGTGAATGAAATTATACATCATTAGTTAAGAAATATTTGTTGTTATGAAATGAAATTTAAATAATAATACAAGAATATTTTCAACACCATGAAAGAGAAATGAAATGGAATCTATTTAGAGGTGATAACCATCATCGAAAACAAGGTTAGTGAAATTGGTTTAGGAGTGGGATTTTCCATAAAAACACCTTGATTAACTTCAATAATTTTAACCATAGATTTTATTAATACTTCATATATAATACATCATTTTTTTAACACAACCTTTTTCATTAAAACAATTAATGAATATAATCATTTTCATGTTACGAAATCCAATTTTTTTTTTTTTTTTTTTTTTTTTTCTCTTTTTCTCGCCTCTACCCTAAAGGGTCATTGGCGTTTTCTATATAATTTAAACTCTGTTATAATAGTTGATAATCCTTAAAAATTTAAACAGGATAGAGACTCTCTCTTCATTGTCTTTTAGTATTTCGTTTAGTGTTTTTTCTAGTTTTATTTTCTCTCTGAGCCTTTCGAATTGGGAACATTCTACTAGAAGATGTTTCACAGTTTGCGGTGTATTGTTACATTTTTCGCAAGTAGGAGCTTCTAGGCCTCTTAAAAGGTAGCTATGAGTGAACTGGCAGTGCCCAATCCGTAGGCGGCACAGTATAATTTCTTCACGCCTGGACTTTCTGTTGCTAGTGAGCCATTTATCGCAATTGGGTTTCACTTCTTTCAGCTTACACTCTTTAATCCTCCACTCTTTTTCCCACTCTGCCAGTTGTTTTTTCTTTATTTCGTGTACTCAGTCTTCTAAAGTGATATATTTCACTCTAGTCACTTCCTCTTCTTCTGCTCCACTTCTTGCTAAATGGGCTGCATTGTCAGCTTTTTCATTCCCTAAAATTCCGCAATGAGCTGGTACCCATACCAAGACAACTGTTACTCCTTTATTTTTTACTTCCCACCAGGTGTTGAGAATTTCTCTAATTATGGAGTTTCTAGGATATGGGTTTTCAATGGCAGTTAAAACACTGTATGAGTCCGTCACAACTACCCAGTAGTTCTTTTCAGATTCGCTTATAAGATATAAGGCATTCATGATGGCAGTGGCCTCTCCTGTGAATACTGAACATTCTCCAGGTAATTTAAACAGTAAATTGTTCTCTTTACTCGCTAAGGCACATCCTACGTTATCTCCTTCTTTGGATGCATCCGTATATATGAAATCGAAATTTTTGTATTGTTCCATTAACTTTAAAAAAGATTTTTGTATTTCGAGTGGATATGCCTTTGCAATTTTAGTCATGGATTTATTAATCAATGGTCTGTCTTTTTTCCAGCGCGGCATTTTTAATTCTGGGACGGGTCTTATAATATTCGTATCCATGTTTATTTTAGTTGTTGCCTTGTAAATCACCTGTTTAAAGAAATTATTTTCTATATCTCTAAGTCCGTTTCTTTCTGATTCTTCTGAAAATAAATATGGAGTTAATGGGTGGTGGGAAGATGCTTTCAATTTGGCAAT